GAAAGAATATATTTCAACGTCTTAATGTCCTGACACTGATAAAAGGATTTTTCATCGAGCCGACCGTCAGTTATTGCATCTGCTTCAAGATCTTCTTTTAAGCTTCTATTGTAATCTTGTTGAACGAGCTTTTTCTGCAACAATGTGACTCGAGTCGACATTTCCCCCCCCCCCCGATACTGTAGCATTTGCCCTACTATTATGCTAAGTGTAAAGACCGTCAACAAGAAATTTTATCCCTTTAAAAACAGACACAAGAGCATCGTCGTTTTCGTCATCTCAGATCAGCTCAGGGCGAAAATCCGCAAGGTTGCTATTCAGGTTAGCCTTTTTCGCCAAACTCTGAGGCTCTATCCGGTATTTAGCTAGATACATATTAGACTGTTTATTAGGATCAATGGTTAAATTAAAAAATTTAATAAAGTTGCCGCTCGTGAAATACTATGAACGTACACCCCGCTATTCATATGCGACCAAACTTTACCAAATTTAAGAATATTGTGTTTTTTTAAGGCGTTTGACTAGGCTTCCACTTTATATTGCTAGAACTTCTCGTTTTAGCACAACTATCCACGTCTTATAGAACCTAACTATGCTTAAAATAACCTCTGCTTAGAGACTCATAATACGTTGCTTATGGGTCTCTGCGCAGAAATCGCTCAGTGTCGCCATATTTGGTCTGTGGACTATGCATAATAGACAAACGATCACAAATACAACCTAATTATATGGCCAACTGGTGGCGGATGTACTTTATTTTATCAATTTACGCCAGCCGAGTACATTCCTGACCAGAGCTAAGAATACGGCCTTGTTCAACAATCGTCACGACATACGGCAACCGTATAAATGATAGGCTTTGTCAGAGGGGGGCAACATATCCATCTGGAAAAAGTGGTGCAACAGTCCGTACGAGTCGTGCCCCACACGCCACCGCTCACAGCCAGAAAAAGGGGCAGATAAATGCGTTTATAAAATAACAACCAAAGAGCCTTCTTTATCTTCTCGGTCTTGCCCTTTCAAGGCGTTTGCTTCCTTTGTTTTCTTTGCACGTTTTGTCACGATTAAGTACATCGTCGTTGTATATAGGAGTCGTTGTAATAGTACTGTAGTAGAAGAATTTCAAGGCTAACAAATTACAGGGCACTGGTAAAACAGTCTACTATGAAAAAGCGATCGGCCCTAAGTTGACATAATCAAAATCCAAAGCAGTATTTTGTTTACAGAGACGATAGCAGATATTCGAGCGACATGTTTAATGAAAACTAAAATAGCCGTGGCCAACTCGACGGACCAGCTAACTACATGGTAACCGTTGTTTCGCTTAAGACTTCCGTGCGAGCGTCGAGTGTCCGAAGTCGAGTCATCGTTCCCTGATGCTGCCTCGACCTGTTAATTCGTAATTGAATATGCTGCCAAACCTAGAATATTTTGCGGGCTCACAGTAGATGCCGCCGGTCAGGTCCGTGAGACGGCTGAGTACTACGCATGAACCATGACGTGATACACGCCCCTACCGTCCAGTGTGTAACTGATGGTGTATGCACACCCCTATGTGTGTATCCTGCGTGTCTCTGCCAGCAGCCATCTCTCCTCGATCCTGGCGTCACGTAGACGGCTATCATACCAGTGTCAGCTTGTTCACCCGCCGGCATGGTCCATTGCTTTACGGTTATGTCGCTGTTTACGCCACATCGAGAGGCTGTGAATGTGATAGCGGTATCATCGACCACCAATTTAAGAGTTTGTAAGTTTTACGCGTCCCAGCCGTTACGCTAGCATAGACAGAATGGTGGTAGGCAAAGCTGCACTATGCTATGAAAGTTCCGTCGTCGGGTGGAAACAGCTGCTGCGATGTACATAGTACCAAAAGATAACATCGTAAGGGTGACAATGCTATTTGCAAGCACGCATAGTGAAGTTGGGATGGAAAGGGAACGTGGAACGAACAAAATGGAAGACACATTTTATTTTTGCGCCAGTAGTACCAGTGGTAGCTCATAGGGCAATTGTCGTGACAATTCGTTCATCATTGCCCATTTCGTAACAACAAGCTTACCGCGCTGATGTACTCGCATAGACACAAATAATGAACCCTTATTTCAATGTGGCCTTTATCACCAATTCCCTTCCAGCTATTTCGTCTGCCCATATGCTTTTTATGCTATGCACATTCTAGACAGCGTTAAGCTTGGTATGATCTTACGCTCCGCTGTGTTGCGTAAGCTCCGACGCATACTGCTACCTCGAACGAGTCCTATAAACCACGGGACTAGCCGAGCGAAGAGACATACCTAAAGAGAATAAGAGACACACGACAAAAACGGTTAGAGATAAAGAAGGAGACACAATTCTGGAGAAACGCTAGACTCGGGTCGGCAACTGTAGGACTCCAACTTTACCTACCGTCACCGACACCCGAGATTCGTGAACGTTGACTTGTCGAATGTACTCACAATAGAGGCCAGCTTCGTCCCACAACTAAAGCAAGGGGAAGCGTTTAACGAGAAACTCTATTTAGTTCAGCACCGGTGCACGCTTATAAGGAAGCGAGCGGTAAACCGCCCACGATCACTAAGGTCGATATTGCCCCGAACCTACTCTCAGGGCCGTGGTCGTTTAACGTGCCCAACATAAGTATGAAGTCGTTCAGTAGCTAACGGGAGATTGACAAGTGTAAATCGACGCAGATAATTATAGTAGTCCTAGTTCTCCAAACCACTTTTCCCTCTTCCTTTTTAGAAGCAATGCAGAGTTAGCCCTTGACTAGAAGGCAATGGAAAGGCTTCGATTTCACATACTTTTCCATATTCTCTCAATACTCTGTGTATTTTCTTTTCGTTTCTGCTGGCTCGCCTCGAATCAAACTGTCCAAGAGAAACGGATTGTCCGGCCGGCGGCAGTAGTCAGCGTCTTCTACGGCTCACCACTTTAATTGCCACTGAAATATGTCCTATAGCGCTCCTATCCCCAATCACCCTTTCTGGGCCTTGCTCTCGATGATAACCACCAGGTCAACGTAGTCGCTTTTAGTTTTCCCCGACTTTCTCTTTCTGAGAGCTACGATGAAACTGGCAGTACGCGAATGAACGATTAGGGCAGAGACTGTTAAATGCCAAAGTATTACGTTGTAGAAGGAAGAAGGCGACAGTTAGCAGCGAGTATTTACGAATGCTGCACAGTGCCACATGCTTCTCTCGTTTATAGCTATTCGATGACGCCATAGGCCTACCCGTAAACGCGCAGAAATCGGTTGGTAAAGACCGTAATGAAAGACCCATCGTAAGTAGGATATTTAAGGAATTGATAAGGCAGCTTTGGGATCGTGTGTCAGAAACCTCACCTTGGGTGACAGTAGGTAAAGGCCCTATTTATTTTTCATTATGTCTGTATTGCGTGTAATTGACATTTTAGGTTATTATTATTAAGCTTTACATTAAACTTTAAACAGTGTCCCTAGTACACAGAATTGGATGCGTGTATATATCTGCAAATACGTTTATGCATAATATGATAGACAAGCTGTAATGAATTGGTTCACAAGGTTCAATTTATAAGCATCCCACAGAAGGGGCGGATCAAGCAGGTCCAAATGATCGTTATCGTACCCAACGCATAGGCGTACACAATGTCGATATATATATATATATATATCACAAGCCCCAACGAGAGTCTCACGGCTTGGATCCTCTTACTTAGGAGGGACGACTTCCTTTTCTTGATAAAGTCTTTCGAAATATTCCCGGTTCACCGCACATTAATCAGTATTAACCGTCAGTGACATGGCGAACTTTCTAAGCCACCCAATTTATGCCATTTAGGATTTTTTTTGTCTTTACCTCTTTCCCATCCTAAGTCCGCCCACTCCGTCTTACAAGAGACACCAAAGACGTGCCAATGGGAGAAGGCTGGCCAGAATTCGGGTCGAGAAAAGATACTTCTCCGTGTCTAGCCAAGGCATCTCTCCTTCCAGTTCGACGTTCGTGGTGTTACGTACGCTCTTCGAATTTCCTTGCGATTACGTCTGACATCCGGATTCCCATTTTCGAAAAAAAAAAACATCTAGTCGACCCCAAACCGATCATTACACGCTCTACGAGAAAAAAAAATCCAATTTAGATGAAGATATTTGATTCATCAGTATGTCTTCGCACCAAAGCACCACTCGTGGAATAGAATTTTTTATGCCTTTTTATTCATTTTTTTATTATTATGTATTCGGGCCACCGTTGGGGTTACATGTCGTTCGCCAAGACTCCAATGATCTTAAAGCAATTTGGATAACAAGCTAAGGTTCTAGTAACTTTACTAACGATTCTAAAGCATATCTAACATGTCGCAATAACGGTGGAAAAGCGGTTCGGTATAGCAAAACAGCAAGATTTGTCAGAACACTTTAATATGTCTCTGTATATTTAACGCGGCTTTAGCTTTAAAGCAGACAATTGTTAATGACTTGGTAACATCGGCACACGCTAAGGGCTACGGCCTTTCAGTTTGTTTACTTCAAGATGTACTTGTTGCGCTGGCTACCCGAGAAATATGTCGCGAGACTCGTTTTAAAAACGTTTTATTGGGTAACAATTTACAGCGAGATTGACAGTTCGTTCAACTCACACCTGATCATTAGAAAATAGATTCTGGAAGCATTTTTTTTACAATTTAATATCGAAATAACTGTTCCCATGGCGCATACGGATCAAAATTAGCGTCTGAGCTCGTCGAAGACGCGGCCGTCATCGTGAAACCCCTTGCCTCAAGTACAACTGCACATTAAATATAGGTTGTATTTGAACTGGCCTTCTGATTCTGAGCGGAACACACCGCCGCTGGTTATGGCGATTTTCTTATTTCAGTTTTCGCCTCCCACTTCTTAAGCGTTCTGCAGTTTAACAAATGTATTACATTTATTGACCCTTAATATGTAATAGTCTACAGGAGTCGGTACGTCATAATGTGGTATAATTCTACTGGATATATATTCGTTTCATAATACTCACTTGGCTTCTTTGCAGAGCCGTTCTCGGGCAAGCTTTAGGTCCCAGTGATGATGCATGTTGGTGATTGTGACAAAATTTCTATCCGGTCGCTTTGACCGATTAACTGAGACAGCCTAAAGCAGCCTGAATGTGTATGAACATGAGATCCACTCCTGTTGCCGTTAATCAAAGACCCCCCCCCCCCCAGTAGTGCCCTCGCACGTTTGCTGCTGGCTAGGGGGTAATCGGATTTCGACGTCGCTAATGTTACTGTTACCCTCACTTGTTTCTTTCTTCCTGTCACCTAAAATTGCAATAAAGTACCCCAGAGACACACAACACCACAAAAATTCCTATTTGTGAGGAAGAAGCTGTTTCTAAAGTTCTTGTTCCGACGGTTTCCTCTCTGTGTCCGTCTAGCGTTTTACACACCGAGTCACCGCTGACTGGCTGAGCTGCTACGACTATCAGTAATGCTAAGTTTCGTGGTACTACGAGATGTCTTACTTAAATTTTCAACAAAGACAACTACGGTCTACTGTAGGTGCATCCCGATAGCCTTCGAACTACGTCAGTCCCCACGTTCCAATGATGATTTGCACTGTCGCCAATGCAGCAACGCCGTAAATAGAACGTCGCAACACGTCACCGGTGTTGTGACGCTTGAGACTTGGCGATCCACGTTCCTCTTGTTCGCCACTCCGGCAGCAGAGATTTTTTGGTGCACGTTTGTATCACGCGTGTTCTTTATTCACCGTTTGGTCTTATTCGCGACAGTGAGGCATAGCAACAGCCATTAAAGTTTGACAACAATTCACTATGTAGTCGACAACAGGGTCAACAGGCACACTGTTGAACTAGAAGCGCATTGCGCACGAAGACACGCTGCGGCTACGGCTACGGCTTGCTACGATGGCTGGCTTGAAGCTCTGAGCCCCCTCCGAAGGTTTGGTCCGTAACAAGCAAAAAGCCTGCGATCTCTCCCCCCTAACCTCGCGCATGCGTATAGCGCTTTGGGCCGAGTGAGGGCTGCGCTGTGACGTCATCAGGTGCTCTCAAACCCAGCAGCAGCAGCACCTCAAAACCCAACCAGCGAGGCGGCAAACTATAGAGACTACGAAGAATAGGGGTAATTCACAAGATTACAAGATAGGATTGATAGACGGTGGGAGAAACAGAGACTAGACGCTGGTCGTTCAACGCTGCAACAAAATGTGCACCCGAGACATGAAAAAAAAACTCTTGAAAACAGCGACAACTACGAAACGTGCGATGCTCTTTTAAAAAGGATGCTATCAGTCGGCAGGTCGATATCATGTACGTTGACGCTATTAGCCTTTTTCAATGGCCACCAATGACAGGTTAGGGGACAGGCAGGTTCGAAGTGCAAGACGGTAGTATGGTGTTATAAAACATGGCACGTTCAAACCGACTTAAATCAAAAATGGCTTGGAGACGATAGAGTAAACGGTGCATTGGCTTTTTAAGAAAGCCCTTTTAAACTTTCGACAGAAAGGATGTAAGGTCATCTCCTAGTAGGCTTGTCTTCTGTAGGTCGTTACTAAATAAAACAAGGTGAATCCATGTTGATAGCGTACCTTCTATGATACATTTTTGAATTCTACATCTATTTTCAGTGGTTATAATTAGACTGTTATAAAAAAAGTAACAGATATTTGACTGAAGTAATTTCATTATATGTAATAAATCTACTTGCACTTTCGATGATCGCACCTTTAATATCATGTAGAGTTGCTCAATGAAAGCAAAATAGAAAGCTCCGCCTACGAGGAAAACCTTAAGTATGATTTATCGATCATGAAAGGATTATTTACAAGACGTAAAAATTAACCAAAGAACGTAATGTCCTCGTTTAATAAAGGTGACGCAGACAGAAGAATATGCTATCAATTAATGCTAAATTTCTCGTTGTATACACAGATTTGCAATATGTTTAGATTGAGCTACACATACATACCCACTAGGAACGAGTCGTTCAAGTGACGAGAATGCTCTTTGAGTAGATACTAAGTAGGACTCACTAGCGTCAGCTCAGCAGTTTACCAACTAGATAAGCACGAAATCACAGGTATTGAAGGCCGGTGTATTGCATAGGGCGTCCGCATACTTCTGTTTATCACGATAGGAAATGAATCTAAAGTCAGCCAACGATGCCGGTGATAGTGCCTGCAGATGCGGCATTCGCCATTTGTCAATAGAACGCCGAGATATTCCTTTTACTAGACCCTTTCACTGTAGTTTCCCTGCAGACGGGCTCACCGTGAAGTAACTCCCCTACTCACCCCTAAACCCACGGCGATCTCGTCGCATCCTCCGCCACTTTTAAGAGTCCGCCAAGGGCCACTGCGCTAACTCCACCCTGAAGAACGTCTCAGGATCCCTCACAGGCCTACTGGTCGTCCTTTCCACGTGGACCCCTGTGGACCTTAGCTATGGTTTCCGACAGGGACGGCCGGGGAAAGGTGGCGCCTAGCTCTGTTTGGCTTGGCACTCCTTTTCTTCGCGGAGCCTCCGGTCCGAAGTAGGAGGTGGCTGTGCGGCCGGGGAAAACTAGCCACAGGTTGCCAATTCGACGATGGTCTAACTTCCGATCTCATCCCGTTTTCCGGCATTCTTCCAACAGCAAAAGTAAGGGACATGCACCTGTGGAGCTACTGACGTTATTGCAGGTGGCTTCGATGTACTGTCTGCACCGCGTCCTCCTAGAGTAGCTGACCTGATTTACGTTATTTTGCAAAAATTGTTTTCGAAGGTGAGGGTCAAGAACTGACGACTTTGCCTGTATGAGCGCACAGATTTAGGCGCCTTCGAAAACTCCAGTTTATAAGCGTGTTCGACCTGCCACGGAAGTTAAGAACATAACGCAGGAGTTCACCACGGAACCAGATCGTAGGGGCGATCTTTGGTGAGCGGATTTGGCATCACCTAATACGGAACTTGTATTTCGTTAATTCGTCTGAGCAGACTAAGTGCCTTAAGTAGAAACTAGATGCAAGAATTTTTCTTGTCAGTATTAGTACTTAGCTTACCACTTAAAAGTTCTTGTGTCAGGTAATTTAACGTTGAGAATATATTGAAATTGCTTCTATGCATTCAAATAAGCAATTAAGTACCATTTTTTCATAAGAATTAAAAACGACAGACACTGGCTGCTAAATCACTTAAAACTTGTTTATTAGCACCGATCCTTCAATGTCTGTATAACGTTAATTAAACGAAAATCGCACACAAAAGCACGACAGAAGGTCTACAGATGCAGTGACGTGGTCAATAGGGATTTTGAGTCTACCTTGGACTACAGTAACAAAGCTCATCTGATCACTATTTACTAACGGTTACTCGATGATATTTTAAATAATTATAATTGATAACTTTGAGCGATTTTTAACATCCGGCTCATGGAATGGCTTTGTTGTTTTTATCCTCAATATGAGGGAGAACATGCCAAATAATTATTTTTTACACGCTTCTAATAGTTTTCCCGCCAACCAACAAAAAAAAATAGTACGTTGTTCGAGCGTGTAAGGGACTACCTATGCCCAGAAAAGTGTACTTCCTTAGAGGAATTAGTATCAATCATTTTGTATGTGGCGAGGAAACTGAGTAGCCTATGCAGTAATATCGTATAGCTACGAAATACATTGAACGTTGTACTCTTACTAAGAAGACTTCGTTGAATTCCTTCGAAGCCATTCCCAATCCACGAAGTTACCCAAAACGAAAAACGACGATAAAAGATCATGAAAGACAACTTTATTATAATAAATCAATAACTTATGTACAATATTACTTATTTAAAGAAATGAGTCGCGCTGTCATAAGAGAATATTTGGACGATTTTTTGGCACTTCTAGTCTTAACTTTATGCCATCTACGGCCATCGTTTGGCACCGCGAATCGCAGAGAATTTTATCGAAAAGAGGTCCAGCGATAGAAATTTTCTGATCGGACTCTCATTCTGCGGCATATTCATATTAGTAATAATTACACAGTCGTCAGATCACTGTAGCGGATGCCATGCTCTGAGGTAACGGACTTTCCAATTCTCAGTAGCAGACTAAAATCATCTATCACTAGGATCATTGCTCATAAATCTTGTACCAAATAGAAATGGTTGTATATGTTTAGTACGCTAACGCGGATTAGTAAACAAAAAATGCTAATCTAAGTGTGTCCTGTATCTCACGTAAAGGATCCTCTGCTTTGGCTGTACGCTGGTAATCACAGTTTATCATATAAAGTCAAGCAATCAAATTCGTTGCCTTTGCAGTTCAAAGTAAGATTCTCAAAAAAGAAGTTTGTTGTAGTACTTTTGTTTGAGACGATGTTGACGTTCGGAATTGGAACAGGTAAGTTGATGTCGAAGTTGAAAAACAGACTCATCGCAATGGGAGCATTATAATAATGAGATTTTTTAACGGGAAGGAAAAGTTACTTATTAACAGGGGACGGGATGCTGGTAATCTAAGTAGATCTGTTTTCGAACTATGTTTTAGGTTAAATGAGATTTCCGATCAGGGTAGACTAATAAGATAAACAGATGAAAGGGTTAGTTAAGAAAATTAGGTCAAAGTGATCAAAGAATTGTGACAGAATGACCAACTTAAAGTTCAGATTCACAATATAACTACAAAGTGTGAGGTAATACAAATCAAATGATGAAATAAATGCGGCAAATTGTAAAAACATCACAGCGGGGGAATAGCTTAAGTTGGTCAGGAGATAACTGCAACGGGGTAACTGCTGGCAGTGTACGCAGCGAACCAAATAATTGTTGATACAGCCATAGCAACGAATAAAAGAATCTTGTTATTATTACTATTGTTACTCTCCTCCTAACACAATTGGTTTGGCTAAACCTAGTTCCTATTTTCATATCACCGAAACGTATTTCTAAAACGTTTACATGCCTTAATGCTTGTCAGTGGTTTACGAAACCTTTGATCCTTTCTATCTAAATTTCCGCTGATGTCCAGGGCTAGGAACAAGGTTCTCAATTTAAGGCACCATGCCAAACGTTCCTCTCTAATATCTAGGTAAACTAAATTTTCATATTTGGAAAACGTCTGCATTGCTACTTAGTCTGCACGTCTTTTAATCATACTACTCACTTCCTCATGCCATGATAGTCCTCGCCAATAACAGTTGTGCAGAACGATAGTTTCTACCAGGAGTGTCTTTAAGAAGACGCATTCCTAGGCCAGCTCCGTCTTTGACATGCTAAACAGCAGAATGCGGTGGTCGTCATCGTCGCCGACTTTGCCGCCTAATAGTAAAAAAAAGAAAAAAAAACTAGGTTCGCTCGCTATTTGGCGCTAAAATAATATCGACGTCACGTGATAGTACGGAGTGATGAAATTTGCCCAAATAGATCGCGTACTCATTTAATGACACAACAAAGAAAAGAACATTCTTCGTAGAAAAAGTAAACTCCGATAACCAAGAGGACTTCGGATTTGCGTACGCATATTTACGCGTCGTCGACGCAGTAGCTTAAACGGCCAAGCCTCTACTTGAGAGATACTAGAGGTTGCTACTCAAAGTCCCGTCGACGACACAGACTAGGCAGACTGTGTGGGCAAAGAAAGTTATTTATATTTACTTATGTATTTCCTAAAAATGCCCAGAGGACAGAGGCGGTAATGCATACATATGTAGAATTACAGCGAATTTCGATATTCTCACCAGCGGATAGGGAAGCCTTGCCAGGTCACCCTTCTTAGCTCGATTCCTCTCGCGGGATATTCAGTAGAACGCACGCAGCAGTAGGCAAATAGGAAAGTCATGCGCCGAAAAAATCCACTTGAAACAGAGGTACTTAGCCGTGTCCCGAGGGAACTTTCCCGACCATTTGGAGTTTAGCATCACTTAGGACACATCATTACACGGCAGGAGTCTTG